GCAGGCTGTGGAAAGTCAGTAGTTCAGCAGTTCGACACCCGAGTTGCCGCATGACGGAGTGAGCTCCAGTGTTCCCTCTAAGCTGTGGAGTCTTGTGAGCAAAAATTCTACTTTGTGAGCTACCGGAATTAAAATTGTGAGCAAACCATTTGGCTACTGCATCAATTAGTTTGCTCTGGAGCCCTCCTTCCTGATCGAAGGCAAAAATGTGTGAGCCGGAGGCTGAAAAACTGTGAGCTAGCTCACACTAACTCAGCTTAGAGGGAACACTGGTGAGCTCCCGTCTCTAGTTCCAGCTCCTGCCAACCTAACAGTTCGGAAGCAAGACATTGCAAGTAGATAAATAGATACCACTCTGGTGGGAAGGGAACAGCGTTCCGTGCGCCTTGGTGTTTAGTCATGCCGGCCACATGACCACGGAAATGTCTTCGGACAGCGCTGGCTCTTCGGCTTGGAAACGGAGATGAGCACCGCAACCCTAGAGTCGGATTCGACTGACTTTTGAGCAAGGGAGACCTTTACCTTTACCTTAATGCATGGATTGGCCACTTTGGCTTTTCTTTTGTAGTTGCTTGGTAAAGTTACTGTTAAGGGTTGGAGTCAATGGTCTACTGAAGGCACCTGCCAACTAAAACGACAATGCCATGATTGTGCCACGCCCATATGAAGAAGAGATTGGATTTATACCCCGCCCTTCGCTACCCGAAGGAGTCTCAGAGCGCCTTACAATCCCCTTCCCTTCCCCTCCCCACAACAGGCATGGGCAGAGCTGCAAACGTTTTCTGTCCATAAATCTTTTTCAAGATCTTTAGGACTCATCCTGTAGACCAGTGGTCCTCACTCCAGGGCTCATGATAGTCACATTCATAATTACCATCAATCAAAAGAGCCAGAATTACTACCATGTGTGGTATGAGGCTTGCCCCTTAGGGAAACTCACAGCTTACCCATTTCTCTGGGAGCTGTTTCATGGTGGGCATTACCTGCCACTTGCTGAACTATGTGGCTGGTGCTACATTGGAAAATAGGGCTTAGTAGAGCCACAAGTGGCTCCTGAGCCACTGAGTGGCACTGCTGTAGGCAGTGGGTGCTCTATAGGCCTTCCAGCAAACTCTTGTTTTGGGAGCCAGAGGAAGGAAGAAGAAGAAAGAAGGAAGAAGAAGGAGAAAGAAGAAGAAAGAAGGAGGAGGAGGAGGAGGAGATTGGATTTATACCCCGCCCTTCACTACCCGAAGATGTCTCAGAGCGGCTTACAAACTCCTTTCCCTCCCCCTCCCCGCAACAAACACCCTGTGAGGTAGGTGGGGCTGAGAGAGCTCTCTCTTGAGGACTGCTCTTGAAGAACAGCTCTGAAAAAACTTGTGACTGACCCAAGGTCACACCAGCAGCTGCATGTGGAGGAGTGGGGAATCAAACTTGGTTCTCCCAAATTAGAATCTGCACTCCTAACCACGACACCAAACTGGGGAATGGAATATTGTCAAAGTGCAGATTGACGTTCGTGTACTTTTGGTGCTTTGTGGGGTACCATGGAAAGGGACAACTCAAACGTTGCCCCTGTGGAGACTGACGCACCCTCCAAGAGAAAGGACCTAATGTCCATGAAACACGAAGAGGCAGGGGCGATCCTTCTCCACACTGGTGGTGCAGCCTGTAATTAGAAACTGTGCACATTTGGGTGTTCCCTGCATTCTTATCACAACAGGTCCTCTTCGCCTCTGCTTGCTCCACAGCCTCTAGCATCTTTCCACTTCTTTTCTCTTGCATGAGGACTAGAAACTTTCTAAAAAGGGATTCTAAAAAAATTGTTGGGGCTTAAAAATAAATGTCAGCGTTCTCAGCACTGCCTGTCTGCAGCCACACAAGATGCCTTTCTCTGGAGCAGATCAGGCAAAAGTAAAGCATTTCCCCACCACTGGCTACATACCAAGTGCAAAAGCGCCAGAAACCCAGACGTCCGGCGCCATCTAGTGGCTGATCCTTACACTGAGCAGAACAGTGGTCCATGTTTTCTCCTGCGACTGGGCTCACTGTTGATGTTATCACAGTGGAAAGGGAATGACAGAGCTAAGTCCCTAAACACTTAATTCATAAATCACTGGATTGGATCCTAAGCCTTGTTCACATCCCTCTTTGTGCGCTAGAATCTTCTATTTATGCAATACCAGCTTCTTAAAGGTAAAGGTTCCCTTGCTCGAAAGCCAGTCGAGTCCGACTCTAGGGTTGCGGTGCTCATCTCCGTTTCAAAGCCGAAGAGCCAGCGCTGTCCGAAGACGTTTCCGTGGTCATGTGGCCGGCATGACTAAGCACCAAAGTGCACGGAACGCTGTTACCTTCCCACCGAAGTGGTCCCTATTTATCTACTTGCAATTTCTTGCTTTCGAACTGCTAGGTTGGCAGGAGCTGGAATTAGAGACGGGAGCTCACTCCGTCATGCGGCACACTCAGGTCTCGAACTGCCGAACTACCGACCTTCCACAGCCTGCAGTTCAGCGTCTTAACCACTTGAGCCACCGCAGCTCCATTGCACCAGCTTCTTGCAGTCAACTAAAGAGTGCCTGGCAACAGAGAAATGAAGTCCGCAATAGAGGACCGCCCCCATCGTGGATGAAGAGGACTGTGAATGGCAGCTGGGCTTCAGATCTAAACCTTGATTTATAAGCCCACATTTCTTCCAACAATTTGGAGCACAAGGCAGACATCAAAAGTTAAACGATAGAACCATATTTAAAAAACTTTCCCCCAAAAGTCATACAGAGCAGGTATGAAAAACACACAACACAAGAGTTGCCGTTTAAAATTCCACACTGTTGCTCCATTTCAAAGCCCCAAATGCTCTGCTAAAAAAACCCTAAGCAACAACATTTTTGTGTGTGTGTTTGTTGCTGTCGTAAACATCTAGACACTAGGCTGGACCTTACAGAGGGAAACTCACCTCCCCAGAGAGTCCACTGGACCCCAAAGTGGCTTTCGAACTGCTGGGTGAAGAAGAAGTTGAGGACGCTTCCAAGGCGGGAGAAGGAGAGGGTCAGCCCAAAGGCCAAAGCCAGCTCTTTCCCCTTGAACCAGAAGGCGGTGATGCGATTCTGCACAACTCAAAGCGACAAGGGGGGGAGGGAGAGAGAAAAACCAAGAAATGGATGTTAACTGAAGGTTGCTCCATGTGCATGGAAGCAGGGGTCATTTCCTGCAGGAGCGCACAGGAGCGGAGCTCCGGCAGCAAAGAGCCCAGGGGGCGGGCACATGCAACAAGCCCCACCCCCTGCTCCGAGCAGCCCTCGGTCAGAGCAAGAAGCAGCCAGGTAAGTTGCAGAGCCCCCCCCCCCAGCCCCCTGGTCCAAAACAGTCCAGTGGCACCTTTAAGACCAAGTTTTATTCAGGTACAAGCTCTCCCTCCTCTGCGAGGACAGATCTGCACGTGTTCCCCCCCCCCAATAGCTAACAATCCAAAACAGTCCAGTGGACCTGAGCGGTGGGTGTTGCCTTCTAACACACTTCCGGTGATGTCAGGGGGTGTGGCATATGCAAATAAGTTATGCTAATGAGTTGTGCTAATAAGCTCCTGCACCTCTTTTTCTATGAAATGACCCCTGCATGGAAGTATGCAATATGTTGGATTCATGGCATGATCAGGAAAGGATTTCTTTTTCTTACTGGTGAGCGACCCGTTTCCAGAGCCAAAAAGCAACCTGCCCGTCAGCATCAGCGGCAAAAGGTATGGCGTTCCTTTAAAGTGAGAGCCCAGGGCAAAAACGGATGATCCCAGCACGGTGAGGAAAGAGAAGACGAAGACACCAACTAGGGAGAAGGAGGGATTGTAAAAATCAAGACATGTGGGCTTCCAACACCAGCACAAGCTGGAGCTCCAGTCGATGATGCACTTACTGATCTTAGCATTTAATGAGTTACTATTAATACTCATTCGGCAGATCCCAAGATCTACTCATTACCCATATGGTTTTATTCCCCCCCCCCACACACACACACACACATGCACACTGTTTGCAAGGAGTCCCAGGTACAGGCATGCATTTCATCGTCAAAACAATCCTGCAAAGTCAATTGCAGGTGGAAAGGGGTGATTGGCCCAAGACCACCCAGTGAACTCAGTTGGTGAGTGGGGATTTGACTGGGTCCCTCAGGTCCTGTACCCTCTCCACTGCCTCACACTAGAACTATTACTGACCCCAATTTAGTACGTGGCAAAGCAGAGAGAAAGTCTACATCTAGATGTAGAAACATATGCACGGACCTGTTTTGTCATTGGGCTCATTCCCTCCTCACACCACGGTCAGGGTTAAACACCACCCAAGATGTGCAGCTGCAAGTGCAAACCTAGACCAAGTTTAATCCCCCAACCAGGATTCTAACCTGGCTCGGGACCTTAACTAGCAGGGGGAAACTACAACCTTTGAGCTTCTGCCTGTCAGGCCAAGCAGTAAATTAATTTCTGCTATTATGGTGTCAGCTATGCTGCCATGGGGGTTGGGATGTTCTTTCAGTGTCTGTGTAAATTGCTTTCGCATTCCTTTCTCTCTGCTTTGCGCTGAAATGCTTATCTCTATAGAAGTACAGATGGCGGTGTGTGTTGTCTGCCTTCCAGGCAAGCCGTGGGAGCTGAACAATTCCCAGCTTCGCATAGTAACAGTTTGCTGGCTCTAGCCCCGGCGCGGGAGGGTGCCTAATTGGCCAGCGCAGTGGGGGGGGGGCATACGAATACCCTGTATCTCATTAGGTTCAAGAGGCAACCGCTATTCTTAACAGTGACTATGTTAATGCATCTATGGCTCTTCAATAAAAGTATAACCTTTCTAAAGAAGTGTATACTCCGTTGTTGGCTGTGGGTTCTGACATATGGTCAACTCTGACTATCTCTGGAATTTACCAAAAGCTAGCGATGCACGGCAAACAACCTAAATTCTTAAAGATGATTCAAACTTTGGCTGGCCCTTGTGTCTTGGTGCATCTCAACACGTTCCAGGACCTGATCGTTTAGGAAAGACATAGGACTAAGAGAGCAATGGTTAAAAGAGGGGCCATGCCACATAAAGACAGAACCATTTGGGATGAGCCCTAGTTTGACTCTTTAGAACTTACAGCGATTTCCCAGTTTGTCGATCAAGAAGCCAGCAACGATCACCACCAACGCATTGCTACAGAGAAGAGAAAGAAAACACAGCATAATTTCTTCTCTCCTTTTTTTTTAAAAAAAACCCTACCTTATATTTTTGCTCTACGAGAAGAAACTATTACATATGACACAACAACTTTATTATACTTTGTACTGCATTTAGAGTGCCAACATAAAATTCATCTCAATTTGAAATGTCTTTTTTTAAAAAACAAAAACCAAAAAACAGAGTCAAGTTCTCAAAGGTTCATCCATTTACTGTTCTGTGTGGTCGTTCTGGTGCTTTATTTTTTATTTTATTTTTTTTTAATAATATTTTTTATTTTATTAGAAATACACAAATACAGATGTGAAGATGAAACATTTTGAAATAACACAATAAAACCAACATATAAACTTTCAAATAAGATTTCCACATTGTTACCTTTATGTGTGTGTGTACATATGTGTTTTCCGTTCTTTAAATATTGTAATTATCATTAAACCTTCGTTAAACCTTATAACAATATTATATTAAATTATGCAACTCATACCCATGTGAACTATATAACAGATTAACTGAGTTTGTAGGATTTTCTAATGATTACAATATTAACATCTTCTGGATTCAATACCAGTTCACTACTGCTTATTTCTCTGTCAACAAAAGAGGAAGACACTCACGTCCAGGCATAGATGGCGTACAGGAGGTTGTATTCTTCAGGGGTCATGCCCAGGCCTTCCACACAGCCGGCTGTCCCGTTCTGCTCTGTTCCATTCGGGTGTGTCCCATTCAGACAGGTCAGGTTCTAGACCACAAGGCGAGAAGAAGAAACATGAGCTGCAGCAATAATCAAGAGCCCAGCTGGCAGATGCCCCGATCTATACAAGCCAAGATGCCCAGCTACCTGTCTGCCCCACCACCTTGAGGATCATAGCCAATGGGCATGTGGCAGTTTGCTCTCACAATATTTAAAACATTAACAACTGCACATACCTTATGACTGGGCAGGGAGCCACAGCCTGGTCACAGTGGAGGCTGGTCCATCTGCCCCCAGCACCCTCCTGCCTGCCTCTTTACTGCCCTGGCCAGACAGGCCAGGAATAGGCAGGCTGTCGGCTAAGGCAATCACTGCCTTGGTTTTGTTGAGGGCTTTTCTTCTCCTTCCTTCATAAAAGGTAAAGGTTCCCTTGCTCGAAAGCCGGTCGAATCCGACTCTAGGGTTGCGGTGCTCATTTCCGTTTCCAAGCCGAAGAGCCAGCGCTGTCCGAAGACGTTTCTGTGGTCATGTGGTCGGCATGACTAAACACCAAGGCGCACGGAACGCTGTTCCCTTCCCACCGAGGTGGTCCCTATTTACCTACTTACAATTTCTTGCTTTCGAACTGCTAGGTTGGCAGGAGCGGGAACTAGAGACGGGAGCTCACTCCGTCATGCGGCACACTCGGGTCTCGAACTGCTGAACTACCAACCTTCCACAGCCTGCAGTTCAGCGTCTTAACCACTTGAGCCACCGCAGCTCCTTTCTTCATACCAGTACACTAATTCATTTGGCAGGGAGCTGTCTTTATGGCTCCAAGTCCCTAATTGGTCAATGGATCACAAGAATCCACTGACCAGACCGGTCAGTCCTTATCCCTTCCCAGGGAGAGGCGGGGACTCAGGGCAGGACTTTTTTTTTTAAAAGAGGTGCCAGAACTCTCAAGATGGAGATGAAGTTTTCCATCTGCATACAGAAAACTCATGAATGTTTCATCATTTTAATAAGAATTTTGTTGAAGAGGTTACGGAACTCTGTTCTGGCGCATTCCCCCAGAAAAAGATCCCTGTCTCAGAGGAAGAAATATTATGGCTACTAAATCCCAATGAAATGGTGTGCTGTCTCTTTAAAAAATCCATCCCCACCCCAGGGTCAAAACCAGACCTATATGAATCCAGGAATTTTGTTGTTGTTGTTAAAGACATGCCCATTTCAATCAAGGCATTTAGCCCTGCCTCTTCCAAACAGCAACCATTCCTTGCTGAATGGGAAAAGAGAAGACCAGAGATTCAAAGGTATGTGTCCCACACTGATGTTTTGCAGCAACAACTTCTTTATTTTCTTTTTTTTTGGGGGGGGGGGGGATCCTTTTCCATGGCAGGAACCAGAAAGCTGTTGGTTTGTCCTCCCATATACAATTCCTTCTCCAAAGAAAACCAGACTTTTTTTAATTCTGCAACCTTTAAAATGTACTTGAGAGTGAATCCTAATGGTTATGGCAGAAATTACTTCTGACTAAACATGCACAGGATTGTACCATAGTGGTATGTTAAAGGCGCTCTGCACATGCTCTCATTTTGTTATTAGAATTTCCAAAACAAATTTAACTCCAGGAAGCAAAGTTACTGGGGCTCCTGAAAGTCTCTCTGCTGGAGGCAGCAAACCTTGCGGTGTTTTGGGCTGGTGGTATAGAGTTACTTACCCCACCCAGGAGGATGCCTTTGACTGCTACAAGTGGCCAAAGAAGAAGAAGAAGAGAAGAAGAGATTGGATTTATACCCCGCCCTTCACTTGGAGTCTCAGAGCGGCTTACAAACTCCTTTCCCTTCCCCTCCCCCACAACAGACACCCTGTGAGGTGGGTGGGGCTGAGAGAACTCTGACAGAAACTGCTCTTTTTCAAGGACAGCTGTGCCAGAGCTTGTGACTGACCCAAGGTCACATCAGCAGGTGCAAGTGGAGGAGTGGGGAATCAAACCCCGTTCTCCCAGATTAGAGTCCGCACACTTAACCACTACACCAAACTGTGTAGTGGTTAAGTAGGCCTCCTTGCTTTGTGTCACTTCACAACATAGACAATGAATTCTTTGGCTAGGGTGCTGGGGACTTCTGGCTCTTTGATAACATTCTCTAACCATCTCATCCTTTGCCGTCCCCTTCTTCTTTTACCTTCAATTTTATCCTATTATAGTAGACAGTATTTTGGTGTATTTCCATGCTGCTTTTCTGCTTCAGCTTGATTGGGTTTCTGTTCCCTGCTAAACACTTACCCCTTGGAACTGGTCTTGCAAGACACTGGGGATATCGAAGCAGAAGTAGGAGCCAAAGGTCAGGAGGCAATTGAAGAAAAGTACCAGGAACCTGTAGTAAGCTGCAAAAGGAAAGCATTGGCTACCAGGAAGCAGAGCAATACACACGTGCAACTGAATGGGGGGACGTTATGGCATGCTGACTGGACCCAGGCCTGTGCCAAGGGAGAACTGATAGCAACACCCCCAAACTGGGGTGGCCTTTTCCCACATGAACTTGTGCATAACTTAACATAGTAACTGGGAACCCTTTCCAAGGCACCCTTGCTTTTGGGAACAAACTGAGGAGACAGCCTCTTCTACGGTAGCACCTGAAGCTAAGCAGGGTTGTCCACAGTTAGTACCTGGATGGGAGACCAGCAAGGAAGGCTTGGGTTGCTACAAGGAAGGCAGGCAGTGGCAAACCAGGACTGCTCGTCTGTTGCCCGGAACAACATTCTTCCCTGTTCACTGTGGCACCTGAGGTCTGCTGATCTTAGAGGCCCCTCTGTGAGGCGTCATCCCTGTCTATCAAGGCAGACTTCATCCTCATCTCTAAACTAAACCCCCATGGGGGAGGTGTTAGCCGGTGAAGGGAAGGTCCAGCTCGGAAGCCTGGAAAAAGACCTGTGATGAGCCAATCCGGCCAGGCGGTGGCAGTGTGGCGCTACGACTCAAAGCAGTCCTGGTAGAACTGCCGTCATCAAGCCAAGCAGAAAGTGAATGCCGTCCGGAACACAGCTGAAGCTTACAGCAGAACAAAATCCCCGTCGGCTGCAAACGTGTGCGATTTAAAGAATTATATGTTGTCCTCCCTTACCCCCTATGAATCATTGTTAGTCCCTTGTGAAAACTTGTGTAACTGTAAATCGCTCAGAGCCAGCAGCTCTGCAGGATTGAGCGATCAATAAATTGAAAGATATTATTATTATTATTATTATTATTATTATTATCTCCTGGACTCATGATGAAATTTCAAGATCCGTTTACCTGGCTTTGGCTGCCGTTTTTATTGCGTTTTCCCACATTGCCCCTTGGTATCCTGACAAGGTGGAAGCAAGCAACCATGCTGTAACAGTGTTTTTAATTGCAATAAATGGTTTTATTTACTGGCTGGTTTCAGTGTTGTTTTCTAATCTTTCTGCTTGTAAAGCTGCCTTGATGGCTTGCTGTCGAAAGGCAAGATACAAGTTCTCCAAACAGAGCAGCCACGCATACTTGGAAGCCGTGGAATTTTTCTCATTGGGTAAGCACCTTGCTTAATTTTTTTTTCTGCTAAATGTTAAGGAATATTAGAATGGGACATACATGGATGCACACTCATCTGGATCACTGGTTCAAAGCGGGGGGGACGACAAGTGACAGAAAGGCATTTTGCATAAATCCACTCTGTAAGATGCTCTAGAGCAGGGCTGTTAAACATGGAGCCTGGTGGCTGGATTACGCCCCAGAGGGCTTCCATTAGGCCTGCAGTGGAACTGGCCATCTTCTGCTTCCAGATCTGCTGCTGCATCATTGCTTGCTTCACCAGACTCTCTTAATCCCCCCGCCATTTCATGTTTTAACCTGGGTCCTAGACTCTGTGGTCAATGTCAATAAATCAAAAGTAGGTTTACAGCTTACAGAGCTAATGTTTGAAGCATGTTTTTATTTTAAGTGAAAAACTCTGTGTGTCCTTTATAAAGTTTATATCTCTGCTACTTGGCATTACATTTTATGACACACATGGCCCGGCCCAACAAGGTCTCATTTATGTTCGATCCAGCACTCATAACAAATGAGTTCGGGCATAGATAGGTATAGAGGCATATCCATCTCCTGGGGGCTATTTGGAGAACCATCCTGAAGGATACACACACCACAGCAGACAGAAATCCTGGTTACCATAAGATCATAAGAGACGCCAATGTTGGATCAGGCCAAAGGCCCATCTAGTCCAACACTCTGTCACACAGTGGACAAAAATACCAGGTGCCATCAGGAGGTCCACCAGTGGGGCCAGGACATTAGAAGCCCTCCCACTATTGCCCCCCCCCCAAGCACCAAGAAGACAGAGCATCACTTGCCCCAGAGCCCCTATCTATACCTTGTGGCTAATAGCCACTGATGGACCTCTGCTCCATATGCCTATCTAGTTCCCTTTTGAAGCCGTCCATGCTTGTAGCTGCCGCCACCTCCTGTGGCAGTGAATTCCCTGTGTTAATCACTCTTTGGGTGAAGAAGTACTTCCTTTTATTGTTCTAACCCGACTGTTCAGCAATTTCATGGAGTGCCCACAAGTTCTTGTATTGTGAGAAAGGGAGAAAAGTACCTCTTTCTCTACCTGTTCTTTCCCATGCATAATCTTGTAAACCTCAATCATGTCACCCCTCAGTCCTTGTTTCTCCAAGCTAAAGAGCCCCAAGCGCTTTAACCTTTCCTCATAGGGACAGTGTTCCAACCCTTTTATCATTCGAGTTGCCCTTTTCTGCACTGTTTCCAAACCTATAATATCCTTTTTGAGGTGTGGTGACCAGAACTGCACACAGTATTCCAAATGAGGTCGCACCATTGATTTATATAGGGGCATGATAATATTGGCTGATCTGTTTTCAACACCCTCCCTAATAATCCCCAGCATAGCACTGGCCTTCTTTATTGCAGTCACACGCTGTCTCGACATTTTCAGTGAGGAAGGGCTCCTCAGAGTCTAAAGTCCAAAAGCCTCCCCCTCCCCAACAGTCAGGTGACAAGAGATGGGAAAGCGGCCTCTCCCCTCCGCCCCCTGCTCCTTGGAAACTGCACGCCCAGGCGGGGGCACCGCTACAGAGATGCCTGGATAACCGGGCGGGGGGTGCCTGAAGGACGGGGCCTCTGAGCACATGCAAAGAGCAAACCCCTCTGGAGCCCACGCAGGCCCTTGGCGCAGCGGGAGAAGGGGCAGAGCGGGACGCGCAAAGGTGCCGAAGCCCGAGTTCCACGATGAAGCCCTGGGGAAGAGGAGCCAGGCGGTCATGTGACGGAGCGGTAGTCACGTGACCGGCCAGCCCGCGCGCCCGTCTCTCACCTTTCTCCGCCGCCGCTTCCGCCATGACTCCAGCTGCCTCCTCGGACGCACCGCGCCTGAGTCTCGCCCCCTCCGCTCTGACCACGCCTCTCCGGCCCAGGCACCGCCTGGCACCGCCTCGCGCGCGGCTCCACCCCCTCGCCCGCTCCTTTTGTCTCCGGCTGGCGGCCCTCACGGCCTCCCCTACCCGATAAGCCACGCCCCCTGATGAGCAAGGACGGATTCCCCTCCCCTTTCTCCTGCCCAACCTTTTTCGCTTTTTGGTCTCGCCTGTCAATCTAAACCCCGCCTCGCTGCCTCTCACGCGGCGGGCCCCCCCCCCCCCGG